ACCATTGTCTGCTAAATGACCCCCTCCCCCTCTCTTATCTAGTACCTATACCATTTTCTGGTACATGATCCCCCCCCTCTCTTATCTAGTACCTATACCATTGTCTGGTACATGATTGCCTTTTTATTTAAATTCAAAGAGATAAAATTAAGTAGAATATCTTACATAATTTATACACAACAATTACAAAAACAACTTTAACTAAAAGAAACTATAATTGAGATTACAAGGCGTTTGGGAGACTTTGGATCCCATATTCTGGAATCAATTTAAGCTTTAAAATGCTGTTTCTCAAAAGACCATTTTTTTACTTTAGAACTAAAATTTTGCAGATTTTTCGGTCAATTCTTTGCTATCGCGGTTTGTTTTAAACACCGACAATGACAAAAACCGACGTTATCCTCCTTAAAAACAATACCTTAAATTTAAGGTTACACCATACGCACTACACACGACACAGTACCCTTCATGGTAATAAGACAAGGAAAGCGGTTGCGTATTCTGCGTACATATTGAAACTAGTTCTCTCTGGGTGGAATTTGTAAACAAGAATAGATGCATCAGTGTTCGTTTAGTACCCGAGAAGGTTAAATGAATTTAATTTTGATGATTTTGATAATTCACATAATAGTTTCCTATGACCAGAATATTTCATTGATTTTTTTATGTGAAAGATGGATCCCATGTCAGGCTGTGACATCCGTCTTGTGTTAACATTACCGCCCAGAGACAGTACACTGAATCAATTATCTTTATATTATAATTCTTTGGTCCCCTTTAAGTTAACTAAGGTAACACAATACACATAGCATCATCAAAGAATTAATGATTTTAAGGTGGATTTTATTAAATCAAATGTAATTTTTCCAGAGTTCAAAGGAAACCCACATGCAGTGAAATAAAATTCTCACATTACAGTATAGTAAGAACCAGCTATGTTAAAGGAAGACGACAGTTAGGCTCAATTTATGACTTTGTAAAGGCAATGGAACTAATGGAACACATGAAACACCAAATATTTTGCAGAGTAAACACACTACATATTTGGGAAGATCGGTATGTTAATGTATAAAATTGAATTCTATAATAAACTATTCTGTATAACTATAGACACAGAGGGACTGATTCAAAAAATAAATTTAATCAAAGAACCTTGAAAAGAAATTTAATGTTTTTGGTTGAAAACTTTTTGTTTAAGATAGAAGCGTATTCAAGGGGGGGTACGGGGGTTCAACCCCCCTCCCCTTAAATCTATGGTTTTTACTGGTTTCGGGTCCTAACGTTTGCTGAGCCCCCCCCCCCCCCTGGAACGAAAAAATATCAAGCCCCCCTGGAAAAATTTCTAATTACGCCCATGGTTTAAATTTATTTTGTACCGTATATCATATATCTACTAACCTAAGGCATATTTACCAAGCCATCATTACATAAAAGTACTCCTACTCCAAGACGTAAGTTGCTTAAAAACCCCGATTTAAAAAAAGGAAAACAGTTTTTTTAAACATTTTGAGCATTTTCATTTCAAAAGGTAATAAAATTGACTTGGGGAAACTAGAATGATTCTATTCCATCAAATTAAGTTTTCTTTCACTAAAAACATTGATTATGGAAAAAATCTCTAAAAATTCTAAATATCCATCAATGCAGAGGTTCTTTTAAGAGAAAACAAGGTTTAAAATTGTTTAAATATTTGTTACTCCTCTTAAAACATTCATGTTAGAAGTTTAATAATAGTTACAATATCAAGGCCATGTCTTACAAGTCCTAGTTTATTAAAAAAAATTCTAAAATTTTTTCACCTTGCATTGTTTGCAGTTTTTACATCGTGTGGATATCCCTGGATTCTCTTCAAGTAGATCACATGATTGGTATTGTTGAGTATAATTTGTCCGTGATGACGTCATACAATAACCACTTTCTAGCACGTGTTCCACACGCTCTATCTGCGCATTTACACTGTTGATTTCACACAAAACATCACTTGCGGCATTCTCGCACAGCTGACTGATGTTACTTAATAGATTATGTATTTGAATGGGAGAAAGAATGGAGGGAGGACAGTCTAAAGAGGGGCTCCAGCAACGGGAAGGGAAGGAAGAATGGAAGAGCAACCTTGATATTCTCAGGTTCGGTGATAAGCTGCAAATGAGCTTTGCAGCAGGTCTGGCTAGGGTGGAACACTCTGAGCTGGAATCTGCTTTATGTGAAAGGCACGCTTTGTAATTAACAGTTTGGTTTGGTTGGTTTAGGTCTTCTTTAGTAGTACTCATAGTTTGTGCGTTGTTTTCAATCCAATCTGAAGAATCACTAGAAAGTAACAAATCACGCTTTTGAAAATATTTAAGGGGTAAAGGAGGGTTTCTATATGGGTCACTGGAGCCTGTCCAGGTAGGTATTGGGGGCATTTGTACTTTTTCATTGACAATAGTTTGAGGAGGTGTTGCTTTAGGATATGTAGTGCTTACAAGAAGCCCTTGCCGCCACCATGCCAGTTGATCGGCTTCTAGTCCACCTGAATCTAGCAGAACTAAAGCCAGGTATAGTTGGAACAGGTAATGACCTATCCAAGGATGACCCGGCATGATAGTGGTGGCTGGCCAGGTAGTTTAGTCCATGTGTACTTTTTGACCCGCTCCTGGGTAGCACACGCATTTCCTTGGGACTCCTGACAGACCTGAAATATAACTTATTTTGAGAAAATTGGTTTCCTGCACTTTCCTTGCAATATCATAATCCCCGGGATAAAAAGTTTCTCATTTGTTCCGAGAAAACAGGTCACATTTCAGCCTGGTTTCTATCTGTATATACCAGTATATACACTTTTTTTCTGGTTGTATCCAAATAAACGTCAGAACGGCTGAATCGATCGGGCACCCATTTTTGTGGGACTTCACATGACACCAGGGAAGGTTTATGAATGATCAAAATTTGAAAAATATGCATCAAACAAATTTTGATTTTTATTAAATCTTTGAACATTTTGAAAATCCATGAAATTTTTTTATGAAATCCGCGAACTTTTTTATTTTTGCTTTACAACGTGTACAAAGAGATAATGTTCACAATGAAAATAGAAGATGGGCAAAGCGCCGTAAAAGCTTAGCATATATTTATATAAAGTATTAATCTCTGTTTGTTTGTTTGTATGTCCATGACTAATTTGTCTCAAATTTTGATTGGAGAACTCGGAATAACCACAGGAATGTTCTATGCTGGGTTCAAAAATGCTAAGTTCAGTAGATTCACTTTTTTATGGAAAGTACACAATTTTCAGTTAAAGCTGGGTTTCCAAGCTAGCCTTATATAAAGATAGCGAATGATTTTAAATATTGTTTGAACATTTCTAAAAATATATGATTTGTGATAATTAAATTGAATTAAAACAGGGAATATTTAATTTTCACATCCGTACTTTAGAAGCTAAACCTACAGCGGGCTTACAGGGACTGTAAGCGATATTTCAGGTGGCCCTCCTTTCAAACAGAGCAATGCCTTATTCACAATATTTCAAAATTATAAACATTTATATATATTTCTTACTTAACTAGGCTTTCGCGCCCATCTATTTTTTAATTGTAAACATTTTCTCTTTGTGTACATTGTAAGACAAAAAAAAATGTCGCGGATTTTATGAAAAAAAATTCGTGGATTTTCAAATTTTTCTGGAAATCGAATTTTGTTGGAGGCTAATATTTGAATTTAGATCATTTATAAACCTTCCTCGGGGTCTTGCGAAGTCCCACAACAAATTTGGGCCAGATTTGTTCAGTCGTTTATGGGACACAAACAAACAAACAAACAAACTGACAAGCAAAGTATATATATAGATGATAACTGACAACAAGAGTACCATTCAGATTTTGACATTGACATCATGTACCTTTAAGCGAACACGGAACACGGAACACGGACAGTAACTGGGTTTCAACCAAAAACAAAAATTTTCAGATCCCTATCTTTTCAACCTGGCTTTGTAAATATTTCATATTTCAAACTTAGATTATGTAATCAAACAGAATTCATTCAGCTTAAATTATCTAAGGTCCACGATGTTTGATTGTAAACAGAGTTTGTGGCAACAGCTCAGTTCCTTCTTTAGATTTAACATCACATCTTAGGTAAAAACTGCAAAAGAGAAATCTCTGAGACTTTTTAGTGAAATAGGTAGAAACCCAGCTAATCTGTCCTACAGTTCAAACTATACTAGACATCCCTGTCTAACTTTACTAAATTAACTCAGTTTTAAAGGGACTGTATGATCAAGTATGAATTCACCCTGAACTTACGAGAGAGAGAAGCATTCGATTTCTTTTATTTGAAATCAAACGTGTTTTCGACTATTACTCAACCGTCTTTAGACTTAGAGATTTGTTTATTTTATACTTTTTCATTTATATATATGTATATGCCAACAAAAAAGAATTTAAGATAAAGGCTATACAATTATGTAAAAGGGGTCAAATTGTGATCGAAAGTCACTGTTTTCTGAAATATTGGCAGAACCGTTAAATCCACGTGAATTAGATATCCATGTTTACAATTTGGAGAACTTATAATGTTAAATTTTTGTTTCTATAAAAAAAGTGACTTGCGCAGTTCTACTGTAGTAAAACATATAGGAATTATCACTTTTAAACCTAGAAAAACTTCCTTTCACAATATTGATCAGATAAAGTGAACCGTTGTGAATCGGGGATTGCCCTTTTTGCATGGAAGATCACTAGAAATTACGATTACTTTCCTTTTAACAATCAAGATGTATTTCAACAAAAGTAGTTTTGAATCAATTTCCGGTATCAAAATATTTCCGGTATCAAAATAATGGTTTAGAGTGTCTACCTTCAAATAAAGCCAATATTAAAATCGGCGAAAAATTTTGTACGTCTTAAATGTGCCCTAACGCAAGGTCCCTAACGCAAGGTTCCTAACGAGTCAACAGGGATTTCATAGATTGAGTAATTCTATAAACGTGTTAAAAACTTTAAAAAAATAATTCTTAGCAGAAGACAAAAAATATATAATGAATTCATATTTTAGGCTACAGAATCTGAGAAAAAAATTAAGCGTAATGGGTCGACAAATGACAATTACTTCTTAAAAACTAAAGGTAAAAATAAATGGTTTATATGAGTTCTAAAATGGTTTATATGAGTTCTAAAATGGTTTATATGAGTTCTAAAATGTTTTATATGAGTTCTAAAATGGTTTATATGAGTTCTAAAATGTATTTGCTTAGGGCTACGACAAAAAAGTATGAGATAAATTTTAACTTTTGAAAATAGATGCAACTCTTCAAAGCTGTCTGGATCTCTGTGCAACTCTTCAAAGCTGTCTGGATCTCTGTGCAACTCTTCAAAGCTGTCTGGATCTCTGTGCAACTCTTCAAAGCTGTCTGGATCTCTGTGCCCTGGCCTAATCAGCTAACACTAGACCCACAACCAGCTTTCCTTTTAAATAAATTAAATTCTATCGAAATATTTCTAAACCACAATCTTTTCATACTCAACCAGATGGAAAAATAGAAATTAAATGAAACTTTTAAATCTCCCCCCCTTCCCTCCCTCCCGAACTTATATTAAATGAACATTTGAAATCAAAACACATATTGTGCTTGTAAAATTCAAAAAAATTATTATTTTTTCTTGGAGAAAATCTTCCAATGACACCAAAAAATTCGCGAAATATATTTTGATCTTATTGTTTTAAAATGTACACATAAGACCTACGGCTGGAGAAAGATGGATTTTAAATCAAAACATAATTTTAAAAACCTTTCATTTTTTGGTCTAATTCTGTAAAGTACAAAAAAAGTGTACTCCGCGTTTCATGATTTACTATTGTGAACTCAATAAATCATTAGAAGGATGATATATACTTGCTTTCCTTTGTTTTCTTATTTGAAACTAACAAGATTTTCTATTATTAGACCTTTGGACTTTGGTAGCACTTGATAGAATATATTTACTTTAAGGGACTGTAAGCACTTGATAGAATATATTTACTTTAAGGGACTGTAAGCACTTGATAGAATATATATACTTTAAGGGACTGTAAGCACTTGATAGAATATATTTACTTTAAGGGACTGTAAGCACTTGATAGAATATATTTACTTTAAGGGACTGTAAGCACTTGATAGAATATATTTACTTTAAGGGACTGTAAGCACTTGATAGAATATATATATACTTTAAGGGACTGTAAGCGTTATTTATTTATTTAACTGTACAGAAACATGTCCTATTCACTTTGAAAACCTTTTTCTTTTCAAGAATGAATGAGATATCCTAACTTTTCAAATTAAAAATTGATTGTTTGGAATCGTGGTTTCTCTATTAAGGTAATTTGTATTTGTTATATTTCACAAGTTTTAGTTGCTGATAAAGTTAAATTAACAATACTAGGCTTTTAGGGCGCTTCGCGCCTATCTTCTATTTAAGTTGTGAACATGTTCTTTTTGTTTACATTTTGAAACAAAGAGGAAAAAAATTTTGCGGATTTAAAAAAAAAACTCGCGGATTTTTAAGAATTTAAATTTTTTACAAAATTAAAAACCTTTAAAACACATTAAAAAAAAAAAAATTATCATTCATAAACCTTCCCTTTGGTCACGTGATGTCCCACAAAAAATTTGGGCCCGATCGGTTCAGCCGTTTTGACGTTTATTGGATACAAACAAACAAACAGACAGACAAGTCAAATTTAAATAAAGAAGATTAAATAAATTCCTAGAATTTCCTTCCTTGTTTCAGCAACATAAATTGCGGAGTTATGTCACTTTTTATAGACCGCTACTGAAAAGAAAACAATAGTTTTATTCTTACGATGATTTTAGAATCTTTGCTTTGAACCTCATTTCGAACATTTTTCCAATTGCAGCAAAATATTTCAGATTTAAAATTTGCATTTCTTTCTTGTGCAAAATATTTAATACAAGGATTTTTGCAACTGCAGTGCACAACTTGGTTCATTTTAAAAAGAATAAATTATGAAATAATTTTTTTTAAAGTAAACACACGGATTTAAAACATTTTTATTTGCTCAACAGAATTTTAATGAAGTAGGAATCTTAAGTTAAAGTGACAAAATATGTAGCTCCATTTAAAGAATTACTACAGTTTTTTTACTATTTAAATCAACATCTAAGTATTTATAATGTTCTTAAAATGTTTTATATTGTCAGACAATTTCCTTTAATGTCATTTACAGAGAAACCACAATCTGAAATAATCAATTTTCCTAAATAGAAATAAGCGTATATCATTCACCCTTGACCCGACATAAGGTTATTTGAGTATACGTTGTAAACTGGTCACTTGAAATTACTGCGCCTACAAACCTTTTAAGTTATCTAACCGTAAAAAAAAAATAAACGCAAGTACAATAAATATTTTTCATTGAACTATTCCCACATATTTTACTATAAACTTTCTGTAATAATAACAATACAGATGTAATTTTTTGTGACCTCTCAGTTTTAACAGATTTACAATTTTTTTCGTGGATTTTCAAAATTATACAAAAATTAAAACATTTTTGACACAACCATTTGTAATTCTAAGCATCCATAAACATTTTCTGGGGTCATGTGAGGTCCCACAATATTTTTTGGCCCAACCGATTTAGCCGTTTTGACTTTTATCGGTTACAAACAAACAAACAGACACCAAAAGT